GCAGGGGCTCAGGCAATCCACTCACCTCAGCCTCCCAAAGGCACGGGATTACAGGCTGAGCCATCGAGCTTGGCTTGGGGTTCCTTTTAACATTTACAATATATGGCAAAATGTGAGGGGAAAACTAATAGAGCAAGTGGTAGTGGATGTCAGATATAGATAGCTTCAATACATTCTGCAGGTTAAATTCCATGCAACTGGGAAGTAACAGGGTTGGATTTATATTCAAAAGAAAGTGAGTAACAGGTGGTGTTTACATGCAGAATTTTTCTACCTATCTCTCTCTATCATTTATCTACTATCAATCTATCTGTATTCATCTATCATCTATCAACCATCTATCCATCTATCATCTATTGTCTACCTATCATCTATCTATCATCTATCTATCTATCTATCTATCTATCTATCTATCTCTCTAATCTATCTATCATCCATCTATCTATTTGCTCTTACAGTGATATGCTGGAGCTGGCTTATACCAGAATGTGGCATAAACTCACTACAGCCTTGACCTGCTGGGCTCAGGTGATCCTTCCATTTGAGAGCCAATATCTATATTTTTCGGGAATTTCACAAGCCAGTTGTTAAACACAGCCATTATTAAAAATTAATAACAATTTAATAATGTAGGTTAAAAAACAAAAGTAGAGAGTACTCCAAAATAACTGCTACTTAATTATTTTACTCCATTTTATGTCACTGATGATGTCTGTTGCCTCTGTGTGGTAGAAACACTGCATAAGTTGCGCTACTGTGCATCTCTTCCCAACTTCACAGTCAGTGGAATTACGCTGGTAGGTTGAATTCAGCAATGGGAGGAGTACATACAACTCAAAAAACAGCAAGGGCTACCAGATGAGCCTATCTTGAGCCTGAAAGCTGGTTGTTCAACATTTAGCAGCACACCACCGCTGATACTAAGCAAGTTTAAAACTGAGACATGATTTGAATTTGTGTTTGTTTGTGACACATTATAAAAGTGTACCTAATGGCACTGAATTTAAGGACTGCTAAGAGTCCAGGCAGAAATAAAGAAGGACAAACATATGGACTTCATAGCTACTTGGATGGATTTAGAGTCTATCATACTCAGTGATCTATCACAGAAGCAAAGAACAGAGTACCATGTGTTCACACTCATAAGCAGACCCTGAACATTTACCATAATAGTATAAGAAAGGGATTGGCAGTAGCGGGATACTGCCAGGGTGGGGGAGGGGAAGGGACACAATATTAATAAAGGTACCTGATCTCAAACCAGGCAAAGTGGGGACCAAATGGAGCCCTAAATTTTATCTGTATGATGACCACTTGTATACTTAATCCTGAATTGTACCCCCACCTTAAAAAAAAAAAAAAAAAAAGAATTCTGGCAGAAAGGACTCAGAGGGTTTGAATAAAGAGTCTAATAAAGGGACAATTTGTGTGGGCAGGGTTCAGTTAGGTGTCCACAGAGAGGATGATGTCCCCACGGATGAGGAACAGGATGAAATCAGTGCCATCTCTATTCCTCCATAGGCAAGCAAGGAAGGGCCTAGGCCAACCTGCAAGAACTAGCACTATGGGAGACACTGGCCAGCAGGATGAGGGACCAGGGAGGTCACAGCTACCCAGAACCACAAGGCAGGAGGGAGGAGCTGAGATGCACTGGCCTTCTCTCCCATTGGTGGATCCACATGGCCAACTTCAACCAGAAGCCCAGGGGTCAGGGAGCCTTGGAGAAGCACTGATGATAGCCAGTGTCATGGGACAGCGCAGAGCAGTTGGCGTGGAGCCAACAGCAGCAGCACAGGGACATCAGGAGTGGCCAGTGCATTGGTGGGACATTTCTTGGTAGGATGCTCAGGGGGACACCTTGATACTCTTCCAGAAACTGGGAATCGAATACACTTTTGTTTTGGTTCCCCAATCATTTATTTTT